GACACCGCGGCCTCGACAGCGAGGCCGCTGGCTCCCACTGTGGTCGCCAGTTTGTTTTCAGCAAAAGTTGGTTTTGTTGAGGAATTCATTATATCTTCAGTCGATTATAACAAATTCAAAGGAATAGTCTTTTTATAAGACCTTTTCTACACAACAAAGCAAAAATTATAACTTTTGAGAAAATAACACAAAAATCGTCTATCGATTCTTGTTTTTGTGGGACTTTGCCTGTGCCGGGAATGCTTTGGTTCGTGGACCGCCGAATCACAGATCGTGAAGGGGGTTTAATGATTCTGACTTCGTTTATCGAAGTGAGAACTTGAAACGATATCTTATCAAAGTAAGATAGTCAGTTCTTCTTAAAATCAAGTCAAAGCTCAATTTCAAGGAGTCACGCGAAAACTCAAATCTGCTCTCACTGCTCTGGATTGCTCGAAAATATGCTCGATCCTCGTCAGAAGTGACCCTAGTGTATGTTGTCTCGGCCCACGAGACAGTAAATACTGTCTCGGAAAACGAATATTCCAGGCAGTTTTCGCTGTAACTGCCTTCCCATGTTTCAAACTCCGTTATTTTGGCAGTTATTCACGTGATTCTCGCCCACGATGTTCTCCACGTCCCTTGGCAGTTAATGGACACGTGGGTGGGAGTTATTTAAGGTGGTTTTGACCATTTCAACACTGTCTCGCTGGCGAGACAGCAAACACTGTCTCGCTGGCGAGACAGTTCATATCTGTCTTGATTTTTCTCTTAAGATATAGTATGAGGTGATTTTTGATGATCTTCTCTATGTTTGGATATCTATTAGCATTTTTTAACGCCTACAGTCATTCCTACCGATGACGTTATTTTCAAATAGTGGCCTACCATACGATGTGTCTCTATTTCAATCACAGTCGTTATACTCCCATGTCACTGAACGACTTGATTTCACTTGTCAAGTAGTGTTCTACCATGCGATGCGCACCTACTTATCATTCGATCAGGATAGTGATCTACCATGCGATGATTCGCTATCTGATCTTTGCTGAACATTTTATCTCCTTAGAACGATCAAAAATAGTGGCCTACCATGCGATGTGCCGCTATTCTAATCACAGTCGTTATACGTTCACGTCACTGAATGACTTGATTACCTCCGCATCATCATTCCTACAAATGACGTTGTTCGTTGATAGTGACCTACCAAATGATGGTCCCCTATCTTCCCCCTTGTTTCTAAATAGTGACCTACCATGCGACGAGTCACTATACATCAATGATACCACATCATCCAAGCAGGCCTACCATGCGATAAGTCTCGCTTTCAAAATACCAGGTTGAGTTGTTATACTGAACGACACAACCAAATTCTAACACTTAATCCAATGCTTTGAATGGCTAAGGATAGAGAAGAAATCTTAGCATTAAGCCTAAGAAAAACTCCTCGCTAACTTATCATGCTAAGGACAAAAGCATGGCTAGTCCAACACAAGTGGTAGTTGGTAAAGACACATCAAGTCCGTTGATAGCTGAGGGTTTGCTAAAAATCCTAGATGGCGATCATTAGATACGACTGAAGAGTTCAACTTTACCAGAATGGATAAGTTCATTGGAAGGCTCCTCATTTCATCAGAATAGTGCCCATTTTATAGGCCTTAAGATCCAAAGTATTTCAGCCCCATACAACCTGATTTGGGTCTGAAAGCTTTGGAGGGGGGTTTGTAGGCAATAAAAATTACCTTAATTCCTAGCAAAGAAGCTCAAAACTGACAAAAACGCTAATATCTATCAAATCGTAAGGAATTTGGCGAAACAGATTGGAGCAAACCGAACCCTTTGGGGTAGGTTTGGTTGGCTCCGTCTCGTCGAGATAGTCGATTTTTATATATAATTCGTCCAATTCTGACTTACGGTTTGAAAGTTATGAACCGTTCTTTGCAGCATGTTCTGAAGCCCACCTACAATACTGAACTTTGCTTGAATATTGAAGTTCGTCTGCAATGCTAAGTTCGCCTGAAAACTTAGCTCACCTGAACTGATTGAAGCTCACCTGATAGCTTCTCCTACGAGATTCGCCACGCAGCGAGGATCAACATCAAAAGACGATGTTCGCCACGCAGCGAAGCTCGACATCAAAAGACGAGGTTCGCCATGCAGTGAAGCTCGACATCAGAAGAAGAGGTTCACCACGCAGCGAGGCTCAACATCAGAAGATGAGGTTCACCACGCAGCGAGGTTCGACATTAAAGTTCATCACCGGGGACAAAACTCCTCTAGGAAATGAAGCCCTTTCAAGAGACGAAGTTCATCCACAGACGAACCTCATCAAACGGCACCTCACTCCTCAAAAGACGAACTTCGTCATTGAAGATGAAGTTCGCCCAGAAACAAAGTTCATTGAAAACGAAGTTCGCCAAAAACAAAGTTCGTCATTGAAGACGAAGTTCGTCGTTACCGTTATTGACGAACCTCGTTTGTCACCATCTCCAGAGGCTACATTTAAGAAGGGTTAATGACCCATAACTCACCCATTTAAGGAGAGTTAATGACAATCAACTCACTCATTTAAATGGGAGTTAATAACCATAACTCCATCATGATAAGGGGAGTTAAAGCCCATTAACTCACTCCATAATGGTCCTAAGCCTATAAATAGGCATGATCAACATGAAAGGAGGGGGAGGAGATTGGGAGGCTAGTCAAAAAGCTCATCTCTTCTCCACTCTCATAGATCTTCATAGATCATTGGCTAATCATTTGGCCTTAGAGCGTTGAAGCTCATAGCAAGCATGACGAGGGTCATTACAATGATGAACCTCTTCTCAAACAACAAAGCTTGTCGTTAGAAATAAGATTTGAAGCGTGTCAATGAAGACGAAGCTTGTCTAACGAACCTCGCCACGCAACGAGGCTCATCATCCACGCGAAGTTTGGCTGTAACGGCCACAAGGACCAAGTCAGCCTACGTTGGCTAAATCTAAGGAATACGTTACGCTCCATTAATCAACATGGGCTAAATCTCAGGAGTCAGTTACGCCCACGACCTCACGATTGTAGCACGTCAATTACGTGCTAAAGCTCTATAAATAGCCGCAAGCAGCTATGGAGAGGGGTTCCAGCAGTTTGGACTTCTAAAACTTTGAGAATCATCAGAGATCAGAGCTCCTACGTTTAGATCTGGGATTCGAACCTCGGTTCTAGCAGTCTAACGAACGTCAGAAGCTCCATCAATCTTGTTCTGATCGTCAACGGGAGGCAATTTCGACTCAAGCATCAAGGGAAGCATCCTTTCGTCACCAAGAACCCACGTTAAACAAAGAGAGGCTGAGTTAATCTTCTCTTCATCTGTAATCGAGAGAGAGAGAGCGTGAGTGATTGTAAGGGTTTCGTACCAAGCGATCGAACACATTTCTTAAAACAAGAGAATCAATCCAATGCCAATTTTTCGACCCAACATATATATATTATAGTTGTGAAGAGTCTCCTTGAGCCTAAATAATATTTAGTTGTCCTCGACCACAATAATAAGGCAAAAACTTCTGAAATCTGGATAGCCACAGGATAAGACCTCAACTTGTGCATCAAGATTTATTTGGTGACAATCTATCCTAAACTTCAAACCAGAAGAGTTTCACGTGCGATATATCTTCATAAGATGTTTGGTCTTTAATAGTTCTAAATAGCTACACTTTTCTTCACCGTTCTGTTTCATATATAACAGTCTTAGAACAAAGATGACAGTTTTTCATCGCCTAGCTTGAGCAAACTCATCAAAGAGATGGCAGAAGAGATGCATAGAAAATCTATATTCTCATACATATGTACATTACTATAACATAACAGTTTGCACAACTCGGATGCATACCAAGCGGCTTCTTTTTTTTTTTGGATAGTACCATGACTTTTTAATATGAGTACTATTCATCCTCCCAAACATTTCGATATTCTGATGTAGCAAGTACTTGCCTGTCACCAATAAAGTCTATTCTTAATTAGATGTCAAACACTACATTGTAGAGGTTTGCAACAATTGTCATATAAAACAATCTTCCTTTATATGCTATGTATATACTAGGGTGCAAATCTACCCCAAAAAAATGTTAAGAGCTTGTGGCTTTCGAGAGGAAGAAACCAATGGCACTGGACGTTCCTAACAAGTATGGCTCTAAAATCTTGCGTAACTCCATCTGTGCATTGTTTTCCAAAACTCAACCGATAAATAAGAGCCCACCCATTTTATGCTCTCAGTACAAGCATGCAAGAAGCGGACTTTATTGATAGATGGGATGGGAAAAAAAGTTCAAGTTGCGCATTGAATGCATAAAAGGGTAAAAGACATCCAAAAGGACACGGGTCTGAACCCTGAAGAAAGAGGCAACTGCATGTTGGATGTATTCATGCAATCAATTCTGCATGTCATTGATCAGATCTATTTGGGAAGTTATAGGAGCCCGCATAGAGTCCATGCAGACCGGTAGGACAAAGTTTCCAACTCCCAAGGCTCAAGAGCAATGGAGCATGCTCTTTTATGATTAGATGCAAGAACAAAAAATTACTTTAAAAAAATGATTATAAGAGCCTTAGGTTAAAGACTTTATTGCCTTATTTCTTCTGACAAATTAGAATTTGGTAGAGATGCATGAGCATTGATCAGATATGTGTAACCTTTCCATATTAGTAAACCAAGCCCGACATGACGGACAAGAACTTGCATTTCAAAAGAACAAAAAATTTGCAACAATCACTTCAGAGCCCATCAGATTTTATTATGCCCAAAAAATATCTGGCTTAGTTCAACATCTTCGTGGCATTTCATCCATTTTCGCGCATTTTTGCTAACATTTAATACCACACCAAGGCTGTTAAGCTCCTTGATTTTCTTTTACGGCAACAGCTAGCCCCCTGAAATCAATCGTAAATAGTAACAGCAAATAACTAATCACGCTTGACCCTAACCCGGGTCAACAAAACTTCAACTACCAATGAAAATTAGTTTGATCATAATTTCAAGTGTAAAATGAAAAAAGGTTAAACAAAAACCAAATAAAACTCTCAACGACAAAAGCATTTATTTACCGCCCAAAGCATGCAAAAACTTAAAAGGCACATGAATCGGATAGCTGATGGAATGTCAGCATATAGTATTAACATCTCTAAAGAGCACAGGAAGATTAAAGAACATTCATTCTATGTTTATCCAAAATGTAGGCAGTGGACTGCAAGCTTCTCTCATATCAGTATCAGCTACTTCGATTTCTTCTGCTGGTCTGATGCCCTTGCTCCCATAATATTACAAACTGGTTGATCTGGTGAAACTAGCAGCTTGAGAGCAGGATGAACGTTGAGATCTCGCGCTAACAATTTTTGGCCAACATCCAACTCGCTCAAGTCCACATCGATATAAGGAGGTACAATGTCAGCAGGACATAGATACTTGACTGTTCTTTTGATGGTATTCAAGTAAGATCCTGACATGTACAATGAAAATAGAAACGTGTCATTTTTCTCAGGGATGGATGAATAATAAACTGAAATAGTCCAACGTACTGCTGAAATGAAAAGATTATTTCAACTAGAACATACATATGTCAGCAGGATATTTATATATATAGGGGGATTGAAGGGTATGAGGTGGCAGCTCATTCTGCTAAATGAGCCACCAAAAAAAATAGATCTGTGAGATCCACACCTTTTGATGTGACTTATAGGGTGGGCCTCATCTCATGGCTATCTCTAAGTAGCTCATTTAGCAACATGGGCCGCTACCTCAAACCCATTGTTTATACACACACATATTTGTTTGTTTGTTTATGTATAGCATGTTAATCGTGCTTTTGAACTTGAGGTTCTTTCTGTCAGCTACTATTCGAGATCTATTGTCCGGCAGAGATACCTCTTTCAATAACAGCTTGACAGATGTGGTTTTACAGACAACTCAAGCATAAGAGATCTTACCAATAAAATGGACTCAATGGTGTTCAATTCCACCTAATAGCTCGCTGTAGCATAACCAGATTTCTCAATGAATGTTCTAATCACCGTGTGTCATTGTCTACAGGCATGACCCGTCATTTCCTTTTTCTTAAGAGAATCACTCACCACATTCATTTGGCTACTACCGGTTCAATTTTGAGCACACAAGCAATGAACATGAGTAGATCCAATATGAGAGATTTAACTAACTGAAGGTTCATAACTGCCTCCATTTGGAAAATGCAAGGAAAAAGAATTGTCATTTTATAGTCATGGGGAACAGGTCCATAACAAAGATGAGAAACAAATTGAATGCTACGTTCCAGTTGTAAAATGCAAGCAGAAAAAGAATGTCATTATAAAAACAAATTGAATGCCCCAAACAAACAAAAAGAAAGGAGGGAAAAAAAAGAGTGTTGCTGCTAGTTGGATACGTCTAAATTAGATCTTGGCAGCTTTATCAGCAGCTATAAGAGAGCACTTGATGGGAGTGAGGAGCTTTAAATCATGTTCCTTTAGTTACGTACTGCTGTTTAAATGCTGTAATCAACACAATTGAAAAGAAAAATAGGATTTCAAGACTCTTGGAACCACTCCGACATAAATTTTATCCTGAAGAAAAGGGTATCAAGATTTTCCTTTCTCATTTAGACTTAAGTAACCAAGATGTTTTACTCATTTTGATTTGACTAAAGTGACCAAAATGTAGCCTGCCGAGGAAGCGTGTGTCGACCTTAGGGTGTCTGGGGGAGCTTATTTTTTGGTCAAAGTAACTTTAAACTACCTTTTCCATATCTACGTATTTGCTAAATCCCAAACAATAAGTCCCATTTTAAAAATTTATTGTTCCCCAACTTTTGATAACTAGCTTATAACCTCATCTAAAAAAAGCTAGGTTTGACCAAGTAAATGGCTATGCTACCCTTACAATTTTTGTAGAATTTTTATCATAAAAGCCAAAAGCCACTAAGATCCAGCATAACTCATAAGCTTCAAAAAATAAGCCCTCCGAAACACACTCTTAGACACGAGCTCCTGTCCCCCATGGCACACGTTTCTACACGTGCTAAATATTGACAACCTGAATCCAGGTTAAATTGTGGCCAAATTCGACTGGCCATGAACAAATGTGAGTTGATGCAAACTATGTCCAAAGTGATTTAATGAAACTCGACAAGGCAATTCATCTACAATTAAGAAAGTGGAGCATGAACATTGCATATGCTGCCTATATTGCATATGACACCTATATCTCTCTTCATCATAAACTAACTGCCCACCAAACATCACAAAGACTTCCCCTTATCATGCAATAAGTCGACAACCCACTGGCCTCCTTGAATCTGATTCAGCTTTTTGCCCCAAAAAAGCTACAAGCCTTCGATGAGAACTATAAATTTTTTCCACTCTTCAATTGTTTTGGTCACCTCTTCCTATCTTCAATCCTAAGTTGCTAGCTCCCAAATATATACGTTTCCTTCTACTTCTTCTTCTTCTTCTTTTTTTTTTTTTTGGGTTCTTTTTTATCTTTATTGTTTATCTCATCGTTTTTGTTTTTAGGGTGCTAGATGGTGGGATTAAGGTTTGATATCTGGGTAGGTAGTGACATACAAAATAAAATCACAAACATTCAGTTTATACATTATCTAAATATTTGAGATATTTAGCTTGAGTTATATTAATACTACTATATATGCAATAACTGCTAGATTTATAGTTTTACTACTATATATATGAGATATTTGTTAGACAATGTCGGGGAAAGTGAAAAGGTGACACACAGCCAAGGCTACTTGAGGCTTTAGCGGCAAAATAAAAAGCACAAAGTCAAAAAGCGTTACAATTTAAATATGCATAAATATTCAAAAAATTAAGAAAAATCTAAAAAAAAATCTACAAATACATATTTGATGATTTACGGAGATCCTAAACATGAAATAGATGTTCAACAATCACACATATATTAACTAAGACCTATAGAAAATGAGACAGAGGAGCTTCAAGGAGGAGGTAGCACTGCTTCAAGATAGGTGGAGGCAAAGTTGGAGAAGATGAAGAAGCTTCACAAGGAATGAAGAGGACCGGAAAGCTTCGACAAAGAACGGAGAGGATGCGCAATGACGAGCGACAATGGACTTTCGATGATGAGACAATGGTGGAGCTCCAACGATCTTCGACAACAAGACGTGGTCGCGACGATTTTGGGTCATGGTTTTTTTTGGGTTCGAACAGCTGAGAGAGATGGGATTAGGAAAAAAAATAGTTTTAAGATTAAAAAATGGACAGGATTCGAATCAGGTACGAAAAAACCCATTTACTTAAAATTTTGGTTGGGTTTAGATCGGTCACAAACTCATAATTTGTTTTTTAAAGTGATATATAGAGCTGTAAAGTGCTTTGAAGCACTTTTATGGGCTATTGGCCGCTATTTCGAGTTGATAGCACCATCAGGGCTAAAAATCACCGCTTTTGACCATAGTAATATGGACATAGGATGCTACCGCTGTAGCAACCGCCATTATGCTGCTATTTACCTCTATTTACAACATTATTGCTAGATTTATAGTTTTACTACTAGCCGTTGGATTTATAGTTTTACTAGCTTATACATGAGCTATATGTTTGATTTATAATTTTAGTGCTATATATGTGATATAAGTTGGATATGTAGTTTTACTACTATATATGGGACAACTATGCAATAGCACAATATTTGTTTATTAGAGTTTTGAGTTCAAGCTTTTATTGAGTCCATATTTTGGAGTCAGGAGGCATAGACAATCATGATTATCAATCTCGAATCTTTAAGAAATAAAGATCGGCTTCTACGACACTATACCCCAAGTACATTTTTTCTGTGAAGACATCATTTAATCATTGCAAGAGGCATTGATGGGAGAGGGACACAAAGGAAATGAGAGATGAGTATTGGAATGCCGCTAGATTGGAGATTTGCATGGCAAATGAAGCTCCCGACTAAAATCAAAATGTTTTGAGCGGAGGCTTGCTCATGAGATTCTCCTAGTGCAAAAAGTATTAAATCAGCATGGATTAGCAATTATTAAAGGTTCCTAGATATGTGGAGCAGGGCTGAATCAATCCATCATGTGATATGGAGTTATTTCTTTGCTAGATTGGTGTAGAGATGTACAAATTTAGCTCATTCTGTAGCCTGGAGTGGTAGAACTCGCATCTACAAATGGATGCGGGGTGTGGAGGAGCGGTGCTAAAACACAAGTTTGATTTTATTTGAGTGATCCGTTGGCTATTGTGAAAATATAAAAATGAAGTCAAACATTAAGAAATTTGAGTTCAAGTAAAATGATAATTTGTCAAGGTATGACACTTACATACTAAGTTGCATGAAAACGAGCACGGGTACTGGTACGGGTAGGGGACACGACAAAACTGTAAAATGTTGGGTGAGTTTATTTTATCATATTGATTATCGTGAATTGTAAACTACTCATTTTTTACTAGACATCTAAACGACCTATTAACTATATAGTTTTGAACTTGGATATGGACTGAAACGAACCCGACCCGTATCCCATTAGTTTCAAAAGACGGATGTGAAGTGTAAGCTCTACGTCCAGAAAATCTTTAACAAGTGTTTTAAATTAACACATATATCGTCTAATTGAGTACATGTTGTAATAAATGCATGTATATATTCAAGAAGTGTTCATGAAGTTTGGGTACGAGAAAGTGTCGGGTACGTGTTCGGTACGGGTACGGCTTCAATAATGAAGTACCCGGGTAACATAGCTTACATAGAATGTTACTTATGTTTTAAATTGTAATAACCTTATTTTCTTTTTTGATGTTACTATCCAAACTAATATGTTGCTTTACTGTCAAGGAAATTATTACACCTGCTTTCATGTTTCAATTTCAAGAGTAGCAATATTCCAAAAATATAAATTGCGATAATAACTTCTGACAAAGAAATCCAGGCCAAAGACAATATAATCCTTATATTTAAAAATACAAAAACAGTCACCGCTAACTCAAAGTAAATGTTCCATTTTCTCTATGAAGGATGCATTCAAACGACAAAAAAACACTGTGGCATTTAACATGTTTGTTGCACCCTATTTAAAGCCTCTTAACCAAATATTATAATAAACATTTGATGAGTACGATGTCAACAATTACTTATATTTGGTTCTAGCAATAATTGCTTTTGTTCTCATCACTGTTGTAAATAGTGGTCGATAGCAGTGCTATTGCCGCCAAAATAGCAGTAGCGAGCCTATTGTTATGATTTTACTGCTGCTATTTGCTCGTAATAGTGGATTAATGTGTGAAAAAAATGTTGTTTAGTGTTTAATAGCCCTCAATAGTGCTAAATATGGCTTTTTCCTGGGGTGGTTTTTAAATGCCTTGCGTGATCTGACCCAACCTCACCCGTTTTAACTTTTAACCCTAAAATCTCTCTCTCTCTCTCTCTCTCTCTCTCTCTCTCTCTCTCTCTCTCTCTCTCTCTCTCTCT